AGATTTCATGACGTAAATCAATGTTTTCACACTTAAAATGAAAATATTCAACTGATGTTGTGATATGACTTATATATTGATATATAGTATGCGTTTCAGCTTTTAGTATCTATAAAATACCATTAAATGTCTTGGTGATAACCTGTTTGGGGAGTTAGTCATGCAAACAAAATAATTGAATCATGAATTTTTATTTGTAAATTTAATCCAAAAGATGTAAGCTATGGAAACAAATATTTAATTAACTCAATATCCTGTCAGTCTGAATAAATTATTTTAATGTTTATGACCCTTAACATTCTAGAACATTCATCATTTTTTTAGTCGTTGATTTAGTTAATTTTTCTACTATTTCGACTTTATCTTTATTTTCATTACTTATTGCTGCTTCCCAGAGATCTTAAATATTATTTTCTATTCTCGTATACATCTTAATGATGGGTTACAAGTTTTGTTTTATTGAATTAATAATTAGAAATGTTTGGGGCCATTATTGGCTGTCTTTGAAACTTGTTTTTTCAGAATGGGCAATATTCTTTAAAAGATGTGAATGCAATGTATCCTGCATGTACAATGCCCAAAAGCCACTCGAGGTAGATGGTCACAGAATAAGTTCATGGGGATATGTGGCTGCTTGATTGATTTCGTTTAGCGGCATATCAACACCTCTATGGGCTATTTAAAGCCAAAATCTAAATAATTTGAACACAATTTTATGACTTCAACTCAATATATCTTGAACGTAATTGTATGCCTTCAACTACAAATAAAATGTATTGTTGGTCATATTACTATAAACACGTATCGTTGGTCAATATTTTTAAATATAAAAATGTATTGCTAGTATTTTTACTGTAATAATGTATTTTATATTTTCATGATGTTTTCTTTTTGCTTGGAAGTTCAATATTTGCCCATAGGTGGGATCCTAACAGCAGATGCTACCACCCCGTATCAGAATCGATCTGGGAACATCAATTAAGAGATGGTTCCACACTTTTCAAAACCTCCAATCTCCCGATCAGACACCTTGTTGCCGGATGTAGTTTATCGTCATACCCAGGACTAGGGGATATATGGGGAAAATACCGGTTAATCCTAGACTTGAACGAATTAAGTTTGTGGTGATAAGGGATGCACCCTCTTAGGACTTGGTTCCACAAAGCATAAATTTAATTTTTTTTTTTTTTTTTTTTTTTATAGTCTTAATGTCTGCAGTGTAACATCAAAACATAACTCCAGGCGTTTGATGGCTTGTAAATCGGTGTTGGGCTTAATGTCTATATCATGTTCAAACACCTGTTCCCGTACGATCACCGAATTTAAGCAACGCCGAGCCTGGTCAGTACCTAGATGAGTGACCTCTCGGGAATACCAGGTTCTGTAAGCTTGGATGTGCGGGTGGTGTAATGGATAATGGCACGGAATTGTTAATCATAGAAACCAAGTTCTGATTCCAGTTGGGTTCATTATGTTCACTTACGAGCAAATACTCTTAGGAAAGGTATGAATTCATTTCTTCTCCCCCATCTTTGGGTTAATTAATAAGACTTATATCTTTAATTCATTATTATCTCCAAAAAATCTCACAATCTCAAAACATAGTTTTTGTCTTTAAATAACCTGCAACGGGTTGATAAGCCATAAAAAATGAATTAATAATCAAATCGTGTTGGTTGATCATTTCCTTTACTCCAGACATCCAATGTAGCTCTACACTCATCATTAAATTTTACTATTGAGAAATCACTTTTTCGGAACGTCTTTGTCCAAGTTACATATTTCTGTTCATGATGTTTAATTAAATGGTAAATTTTCATTGTTTTTCAGTTAATTTTCTGTGTATTTTCTCTCTTTATATTTGCAATACCAGCTTCAATTTCTTTTTCCTTGTTGATTAACCCCACCTTTCTTTGATTATTACCCTTTTAATATTTACCAGATTTTTTTATATTCTAAAGGCTTCTTTTTTGTGTTCTTATATTGCTATTATTTCAATAACTATGGTTTCATCCATATGATTTCCGTCCAACTTTTTCACAACTCTATTAGACTTCTGAAGTTAATTATTATTACTTACTTTATCTTACTGCCTACATGGCAAATTTATATATCTGAAAATTTATTACTTAAGCGTTATTTTTAGTGGATGCCCATAATTGAGTAGACGGTCCGTTTACTTATTAAACACTGCTATGCGCTATCCGACAGGATTCGAACCTGCGTCACTGCTGGGCAGAGTGAACCATCGTTAGATCCGACGTCCGTTAGAAAATAAATAAATAAACTAATAAATAAACGGAGCGTCTACTCAAATATGGGCATCCACTAAGATTAACGTTTAAGTAATAAAATCTATCGGGCAAATAAAAATCTTCTTTAGAAATTAAAATAAAGAATAATATAAATATAATATAATATATATCTTTACTATACTATATATTTATAATATATATTTATTTAGAATATAATATATATATATATATATATATATATATATATATATATATATATATAAATATATTTATTTAGAATCTGCTGAACAATCCTCAGGTTGCGTAATAGAATACACATAAACAAATAAGCTATTGTAAATATTTGCAATTAAAGATATTAAAAGCTGAAATTCTCATGACATATTTATTATAGAAAATTAAACATATACTGAAGATGTTAGTAATATTATTGTGAAAACATTGACTGCATAATAAAATCTGATATAATGTACATGCACACGCTCACACATAACACAAAGGCTTGCACAGAAATATATATATATATATATATATATATATATATATACGTATGTATAAATAATATATATTAATTAAAAAAAAAGGAAATAAATCTTGTATATAAAATTTTAATCTATTTCATTAACAACCAAAAGTGATTAACTTTTAGTGACTCTAAAACTAAATAAATCGATATATTCTATATTTTGAAATATTGAAGTACATTGCACCACTTATCTTATGTAAAAGACTGCGTCGACCATTGTTTTTATATTCGTGTGAAAGTTCTGGGCCTGTGTCATACAACATTGGGCGCTGTTTCTGTGAAGGTGGGTTAAATAAAATTAAGTATGAAACTAAAAAGACTATCAAACGTCGAATAAAAGTATTTTACACTTGCGACACACTCTTAAAATATTTTGACAACTTTCACAAGAGCGACTGTTTTAAAAGGAAAGGATGGTTGGTTGGTTTCTTGATTTCGACAGCTATGTTTTTTTTTTTTTTTAACCAGACTTGCATTATAAATGTAACAACTCAGCTACAAAAAAATAGGAATCGATTCTAGACTGTGAAAAAAAGGATTAATTATTAGAGTCCTATTTTGGATATTTCGCTAATATTAAAGCGATGGATGCAGGGGTGGGGAATCGAAGCAACCAGAAAAAATTGGGGAATAACGAAGATCCCTTTCCACTTTCCATTGTACGCATATCACTCAGACAAAATCCTGCTAAGAGATCAGGGAAAACAGTATGACTATTTATCTTACTATATCAGCCTTAGGCTTAATTTTTTAAAAATATATGACTCGCGTTACGATGAAGCGAACAAACATATTAACGACAAAACAAATACAAGCAAGCAGGGCATCACAAAATCAAAAGTATGGGGGGTAAGTCAGATGGCAAACGTTGGGGTTTAAATCAAAGGTTAAAAGTTTCGGTTACGGGTAAATCAAATCGTAAAAGTTGGGGGGAGGGTATATCACATGTTAAAAAATGGAGAGGTAAATCAGATGTTAAAACTTGGAGACAAGTTAAAAGTCGGTTTAAATCAGATGTTAAAATCTCGGAGTATATATATATATTCACCACACCCCAAATATATATATTGGGAGTGGGGTGAAAATCAAATCGGGGATAGTTCAAAGGTTAAAAGTGAGGTGAGGGTAAATCAGGTATTAAGTTTTTAAAAATCCGGATTCTTTTTTTTCTTTTTTTTTTATCAGATTCTATCATAAAATTAACATTTTTTAATGTAAAGTATAATTATAATATATAACTTTTTTTCTTTTTTTATTAAAGACATTTTTTTTTTCGCCTCTACTTATTTTCTGTAATTAGACATTTTGAGGCTTTTTTCTGCATATAAGACTGATATAATTATTTTAGAAAAAAAGAAAGAAAAACAAACGTAAAATTAAGTTTTATGATTTCTTTTGAAAATTAATAGCAATAATGATTGGCTAGAAATGCTAGAGCTCAACACAATAGCATTGTCATAGAATGAGATTAAACAAACTAAACTTACTTTTATTTCTTTAATTCTTTAATTCTCAATTCCAGCAAAAAGTGGGGGAGGTACTGAATCCCTAGCCGGTCCCTCTAGCGTCGTGAATGAGTAGATGACTGGAAATGTAGAAACAATTACAAATAACTAAAAAAAAATTAAATAACTATATATATATATATATATATATAGATAGATGATAGATAGATAGATAAAAAAGGGATTATTTCTATACAAGCCATTAATTAAAATTTTGTAGCTATATTTTCCTGAAACATCAACAATGCTGGCCATTCGCTTATAACAAACAGAAGTTGTAAAACGCTTCCTTTATGTAAAAAAGATGAAAATTATCGTCTTTATAAGAAAAGAATAAAAAAGAAAATGGTTTCCCTTGGTTGCAACGATTTTCTATCACGTGACCTTTATTACAGTATATAATTGTCCAGTTTTATTATTAATTATTGTTGGTTATAAATTGAACCGTATGATAATTAGCATATATCTACAGGAAGAAGTTACTATAAAAGTGCCAACATAGAAAAATACAGATCTGGCTTTAAATGAAGTCGCTTCATGTATCAAAATTGATAAATTACACTCGGCCATTTGAAGAATAGAGTGTTTGATGTTAAATTTGGAGAATGTTTGAATATGAAGATATTTTTTTTTCCAAATATTGAATTTTGTCGATAACTTATTGAAAGCTCAATAACTTAAAAGTGATGAGTGTGCTTGTTTATTTTCCTGAACATATAGTTTCAGATTAACGACAAAAATGCAAACCTCGTCTCCTGGAGTAACCATACCAGGATGTATGGACTTGATAGATAACATCTACAGTAATTCTGAACCGTAAAATGAAGACAATGATCCGAAAGTATTAGTCAACTGAGGAAATGCTTTCAATATATTTTATGCCATACAGTAAACTCTTATCCAGATACAATCTCGAATAAAGATGAAAAAGAAAGAGAAAATAAAAATCCTGAAAGCAAACTTAACTACTCGAAGCCTAGATTGCCTAAACTGAGCAGAAAGGGCTTACCAACGTTAAATCCTATAAAACGACGGCTCTAGTCGGACGGGACTCAAGTTTCATACATACTCGATCTTTAGACGAAATGTACCGAAACTAAAGATCGTGTATAAATATATATATATATATATATATATATATATATATATATATATATATATATACTATATATATATATATATATATATATATATATATATATATATATATATATATATATATATATATATATATATATATATATATATATATATATATATATATATATATATATATATATATATATATATATATATATATATATATTTTAGTGGATATCCATATTGGAATAGATAGTCGGTCTTTTTTTCTTTTATAAAAAAAACAGCGTTCTCTACGTCTGCCGGCCCGCGCTTTTGAGAAATATACTAATGAAAATATGCACTCGGCTCTGGTTCAAACTTGCGTCCTCCTATATAGGAGAAACGACCGTATTAATCATGCATTAACAGAATATCATCAAAAAATACCTCAAGTTACAAAAACGCATAAACTCAATATACATACGAATTTTTGTCAGTGTGTATACTCATATGTGTACGTGTGTGTGTGTGTGTGTGATAATGAAAGTTTCATTTTAAAGAAAATCTACCTCTGGGTCGGAATTGAACCTGTATTCCCTTTTTTCTGAGAAACCACCTTAACCCGTTATGCACTTACAAACACATGTACCCAATATAATAACGTTCATATCACTCATTGATTGCTTCATTATTCACGGTTTATCAACCCTCTGGTTATTTAAAGCCAAATTTTTTAATATAATAAAAGGTGTTCGCGATATATAATAGTCAATAAAACGAACCCAACGGGAACTGAGACACATACAACCTATTTATCCATTTACACTAACTGGATATACAAGCCTACATTCACAAGCTGTCACCCATCTAGGTACTGACCAGGCTTAATGTTGCTTAACTTCTGTGATCGTACGGAAACCAATGTTTGCAATAAGACTTTTGCATAGTAATGATATATGTGTATGTGAGTGTGTGTGTGCATGTTCCAATAAGTTTTGTTAAAAATTATGTTGATTATAATATCTTTGTCGATTTAATTC